TTTAAGTCGGCAGCGTATGAGTTTTCAAACACTCGGAATTGAATTTGTTTGCAAAGTATTTTCGTGTGTTCAAGAGATTAGGCGAAACGGGACTGCTGAGGAAGCGGTGCAGTTCTTGAGTTCTTTGAAGTGCGAAGGGAGGCGACGAGGCACCCCCGCCCGCAGCTACAGGCGCTGGCATCCGCCGCAGCATCAGGCATCATGTATCGATCCATGTGAGCTTGAGCTGTTTATTGCACATTATTTTGTATTTATTAAAGCTAGCATTTCCGTCGAAGTTTCCCTGTGCTTGTGTCGGGGAGTAAGGGGGGCTTAAGTCGCCACAGGACACCCACTGTTGCGCTGAGGTGGACCAGTGGTCATTCGGGGGAATATTCCGCAGGTGATTCGTTTGGAAGACAATGAGACTGCCTTTGAGTATGTGAATCGTCCACTCCATCAATTGAGTTTCGAAGAAATCCGATGGGGGCGCAAACCGCATTGGTTTGAGAACGCGACATCCTCCTCTGCCGCCATCGACAGCACCTGCATGCTCCTGACGGAAGAAGAAGAGGGCATTCAGAAGATCACTAATTATCAGTTGCCTTGAAAGAGGTGGCGGGGTTTTCAACGGGAGTCTCCGAGTCCCGGTGAAGTTGTGGGGACACATGTTTAGGTGTGTTCCGACGCGCTGGTTTTATAGATGGGATACAGACCGTGGGCCATGTATTGATGCTCGCTAGTTGGCAGTGCCGTTGGCGGGTACTCCGCTGAAACGACGGCTCAATGCTTAGCCCTGAAGGGGAACCCGAGGAGCTTGGGCGTGAGTCGAGGCACCCAAAGTGTTGAAAGATGACGAGAGGCTGGGATGGGGGAGGCGTGGGTCCGTTTATAAGACCGGAGGACCTGCACATGTGGCTCATTTCTTTTGCGCTTCTTATGGTACTAAATTCGATCCCTGCGGTTGTCTCCAGCCAGTTCAGCGGAGCAGGCAATCCTCCTTGGATTGATTTTGGTGGNTCTCCCACTTGCGTGCAGCATGTTCAAGAGTTTCATTGAGTTTCGCTCTGCACTCTCGGGTCTAGTGTATTCGTGGATATGAGGTGTTTACTGTGTAATTTTTGCAGCGGTTCTCGTCAATTGGGGAGTTGTGTTCAGCTTGTGCGTGGTCTTCCGCTGTTTGAACATTTTCGTAAACACGGAGAGAGCAAAATGGCGGCTGCTTTTTTTTTCTTTGGCCTGTGTCATCGTGCCTCGTTCCGTTCTTCCCTTCCGGTATGTTGACTTCACCATGCTTCTGATGTGCCTTATGCTGATCGACTTCTTCAACGGGCGCCTTTCGTGCAGGACGCATCTCTTCTGTGGTACGTTGCCTGAAATCGGATGATCTGCATGCATCTGCAAGAGCTTTTGTCCCTACATGCATAGCCGACAAACTGCACCAGCATTCAGCGAGTGTGATGCTGTTGTAGGCTGAATATATTTACATGAGCGCCGAATGATGGGTATTGCCTTGTTGTTTGCTTTGCAGTGCGTACGAGTCATGTGCGTATGCTGCTGCTTTTGTGTGAAGGCGTTATGCTGGCTGTGCTCTCCGCATCTGACCATGCATGGGGAGTTATGCCTACTGGGCTTTGGGTGGTGAAGCTTTTTGGGTCCTACCTGGCTGTGCTCATAGGGAAGCTGGGGTATCGTGTTACCCAGGTATTTCACCGGCAAGCACAGGAAGTGAAGGGCCCCCCATCTCCTGTTTGCCGATGTGCCAGTAAGAATGCAGTCTGTAGAAAGGGAAGGGGAAGGTCCGTCGGCATCCAAAGGGCTCTCTTCGAAGGTGCAAATCACGCTTTGAAATTCCGCCACTGCCAGACGCAGCACACGGATACTTCACCCGACCCTCCGTCTCTAGTCACGGAGAGATGCACCCGTCCTAGAGGAGACGGTCTGGGCGTCTGCAGTGGGGGAGCACAGCCTAGCACGGGAATGCGCCGCTACTGGACACACTTTGACGGCTACGCGCAGCTCTATTTGCAGGCAGTACACCACCGACTGACCATATGCAAAACGGGCTCCCCAAGAAGCCTCATTGAAATAGGTGGAGCTCAGACCCGGAAAAGGCAATTAGTGTTGGTATGAGTGCCACAGTCCACATTCGCTTGAACCGAAAGCCCCTGGCATTGCCTTTCTTAAGAGCTTTTTGTGTATTTTTACATTTCAGAAGACACACGCATCTGGAAGGAGGAAGAAGAGCAGCAGTTTTTCGTAGTGCCGAACAACTGCTACGGCAACGTGGATTGCAACTGGTTCCTGGACATACGTGTGTCTGGAGCATTTGGCATGTTTTGTTTTCCATTCGCAAGTGGGATGGAAGGGCGCCAGGTGATGTCTGCTGTGCATCCTCCGACTGGGCGCCAGACACGAACCGCAGCTGCTCCTTCTGCCACAACCCATTCTGTCCCCCTGCATTTTCACCCATCCATTGCCACCGCACGCTATGGGTCCCTCGGATCGACGACGTACTCCGCGGAACTCAATCNTTTCACCCATCCATTGCCACCGCACGCTATGGGTCCCTCGGATCGACGACGTACTCCGCGGAACTCAATCCCTGTGGAGGCTGCACCTCAACTGAGAGTACTCTGCCATTGCCTCCTATCCACAAGGATGAAAGACAGCAGCCGTGCACGGTGCAACGTGCCAAAGTTTTCAGTGCGGGAGTAGGAGCGTCTGGAGCAACAGTACCGCTTCCCCCTACTTCCCGCGTCTTTCACGACGCCATGTCGGCGGACGCTGCAAATCTAGGAGGGACCGTTTTCCCAACACGCTCCCCTCGTTGCTTCTTCCCCCAAACGGTAACCTAAGTCCCCTGTTTTGTGCCCAGCTGTCTTGCGTCGTTTGTTACTGTGTTCGGGCCTTGTCTCATGCAGTTCTTAGAATGGCAGCAAGGCTTCAAGGCTGCGTATGGAAAAGAGAGCCAGCGTTTTTGCTTGTGAGCCTGCGCATGAATTTAAGGACTCACTGAAAGCGGGGAAGGAGAGACGTTCCTTTAGATCAGTGTCCATGAGATGGATCAACAGTCCAAAAAGGCCGCGTAAATCACCTGCGAACCCAAACCGGTGCGTCAAGCGGCGAGATAAGTGCATG